GTTTGGGGATGCACAGACCCGGTTTGGGGATGCACAGACCCAGTTGGGGATGCACAGACCCAGTTGGGGATGCACAGACCCAGTTTGGGGATGCACAGACCCAGTTTGGGGATGCACACACCCAGTCTGGGGATGCACAGACCCAGTTTGGGGATGCACACACCCAGTTGGGGATGCACAGACCCAGTTGGGGATGCACAGACCCAGTTTGGGGATGCACAGACCCAGTTTGCTGGACACAGGGATGTGGCTGGAGTTATTGCTGTTTGCCTCTCCTTCCTTGTGGTGGGTGTTCCATCTGCTCTGGGTGGATTTCCCTCCTTGGTGGATTTCCCTCCTCTCTGGCCCAGCCAAGGCAGTGCTGATCTTTCTTTGGGGCAGATGAAGAAACAGTGGATCTTCAGAGAGGGAAGGAAATCGCTGTACAGTTAATCCAAAACAAAAACATACTTCAGAACATATATATATTATATATTATATCAGCTATATAATATATGCACATATATATGTGGAGCTCCTGAAGGGATCTTTCTTTGGAATGACCAACATTTTATGCCTCCATGACAGCAGCTTCTGGCTCAATGCATCCCTGCACACGAGCAGGGCTGGGCGTCCTTGGCCCCTCGGATCTGCCTCTTCCTCCTTAACTAAACCCTTATTCCATGAGGAGTTGAGTGCTTCCTTTCCCTTTGCAGTGGCAGCTGGGGTGACTGTCACGCGTCCAGGCGCTGGATCTCGGGCCGATGCACCACCTCCCTGGACTCTGTCCGAGCGCGGATGTAGTCGCTGCTCTGGCGGCTGCTCTGCTGTCTGCTGCTGATCCGCCACTTTCTGATGGCTAAAAAGGTGTTCACAGCATACACTGCCATTGCCAGGAAACCAAACACCTATGAGAAGCAGAAAGAATCATCAAAGACCATTTCTGAAAACAAGAAGGAAAGTAGTTTCACAGCAAAGTCCTCAGAAGTTCAGTTTTCACTGACAAAATTAGCATGGCCTGGAAAATTTCGTTTTTCTTCTCAATGAACTGGAGAATTTGCAAAAGTGACTAGGATCAGTGATGCCAAAAAACGAAGTTCTCTGACCAACATGGCAGTGAAATCCTGCAGTGCAGCCCAAAGGAAGACCCTCGTGTAAAGAAACCAGCTCTCCATCCAAGAGCATTCCTCAGGGTGCACACAAGAAGTGATGAATCCAGGGCATCAGCCTGGAGAAGCAGCTGCTTTGCAGTTTTTCCCTTATGCTCCTGCAGAACTCCTGYGATTTTAAAAACCATTTTGTTTGAAAACAAAACAATAAAAAAGAAAATTAAAAAACGTTGCCAGCTCATGTACAACATYAATTTGCTTGAACTAACTGTTGTAGATTTCAAACCTTGAAATGCTACTACACTCACTCCACAGACAAAAACTCATCTCTAGTGAGCAAGAACTCAGCAAATTYCATGTAAGCAGCTGCAATTTCTCCTGAATTTTTGGCCCTATCTTTTTTCCATAGGCTCGCAGCATAAAGCAGGATAATGTAAGGCAGTTACAGAGAAAGGCAAGTTCAACTGTAAAATGTTCTCTACAAGCTATCTTTTTGCTGTTCTTGCCTCAAGCCTTAAGACAAACAGCTTCAAGGATATTAATACTCTTAAAATAAAAGAACTATCTTATAGCAAACTGTAAAATTAAAAGTRAATTGTGATGGCAAATACAATAGATGTATTGAATCAATGAGTAAAAGTTAATTTTAAGTTTTAATACAAGAGTTACATATAAAGAAATTTAAATTCTTACCACAGCAGCAATTTCTGCTCCAGTTTTATGGTTTAAAGCAGCAAGTACTACAGAGGCAATGAAAAAGAAGAAAGTGCTGAGTCCAGTGTTGACCAGATCCTAAAAAAATAAATTCAGCAGCATTACTAAATGATGTTTGCTYTATGAGAAGTGATGACACAGAAGGTTAGAACAAGCACTGCAGCCACAGTTGGCCACTTTCTGTGCAGCAGCTCTGGGATACCAAAGCAGGCAGAGGTTGTCCCAGAGGATCAGCAGGAGTGTGAGCTGCAGTCCCCCAGCACAGAGCACAGAACAGCCCTGGCACAGCCCCTGAGCTCCTGCTGCCAGCTCAGGGATGGAACTGGCACTGCTCGAGCCCGCTGGTGCTGAGCTGAGCTGGAGGGGTCACACTGGGGCACTGCAGGCAGTCCTTGTTCCTCACAGCCCAACTGTGCTCCTGCACTGCCCAGGCACCAGGCACAAGCTTTCCTCCCCATTCTTTGGGGCCTTCAGTGTACAAAGCTGCATGTCCTGTGCCACTTTGTGACTAACAGCTGCCAGGAGTGTAGGAACCCTTGAGATTTGCCCCTATTTATTGCACCCAACTGATGGTTCAAGCAGACATTTTAGCACATGTGCACAGCAACACGCTCAGTGCAAACTCCTATTTGCTCCAAGCAAAGGAGGACAACGTGCTACACACAATTCAAGGCACAGGGGCTGCACATGTCATTGGTGCTCAGGTGATGCTGCTGCCATGCCTCACCTCAGGCAGGGTCATTGACATGTCACTATGTCACTGGAACCACAGCAGGAATTCTGAATGGCAAGTATGTGCATTATAATACTACTACTACTATCACTACTACTACTACTACTACTACTACTAATAATAATAATAATAACAAGACTAACTGATCAGACTTGAGGGAAAAAATATTCCAGAGTGTAAATAATAGAAGAAACAAAGTTTAGATTCATTCAAGCCAAGTGTTCAGTGTGTTACAGGACACCTTTCCCATCTGATGTGCACGGACACCGCACTGTGGATGCTTCCACTAAGGGRGGAACACCATTCCCAGACCACAACACACAACCACTGTGATTGAACAGGTGAGGTCAGGGTGGAGGCATCAAAAAGGACAATTCAGCACAAACATAAAATCAATGAAAAGTGAACACTACCAAAGATGGAAGGAATGCAAAGAACACCTGTATGTAAGATTGCTGTGCAACTTACAGACTTGAAGGAAGGGAAAAAAAACAAAAACATGTAAAACAAAATCACAGTGAGCACAATTCCCACCATAAAAAAAAATCACTTTCATTAGAATTTGAGGACAATTTTTTCTACTTGACTCTTTTCTTCCACAGGCAAGGCAGGCTCACTTCCTGCTCCTGTTCCAGCTTCTTCACTTACTCCAGTTTTTTTTTAATTATTTTATTTTTTCCCCAAAGTGAATCTTGCGAAGTGCAATAAGAAGTCAGGCTTAGGAAATTCAAGACATAACTCTAAACTCACTCGGCTGGGTATGAATCCCATAACTATATGCCAGATACACAAAGGCTCTGAAGGGAACAGTGCACTCCCAAAACATCTCTTTTCCTAGCTGTGATTACAGAATGCTTTAGAGAGTAGCTGTAGAAATAGAAGTTTCTGGCACTGTGTAATTCACAGAAAACTATCTATTTTGAGGGCATTGACTCAGCAACAGCTGGTTATCAAAACTGAGTGTACAGACTGCATGAGGCATCACTGTGGCCGGATCTTCACAGAAAACAGGGACTTTCCCAAGGAATCAGAGAGGCCCCATGGCTTGCTTCCATTTCCACTCTCATATCCAGATGTCATGAGCCCAGTAAGACTCAAACTCTTACCAAATAGGAAAAAAACAAAAGCAAATTGTGGGTCTCACAAATTCCTACCTATTTTTCACATGCCTGTGTACAGAGATATTTTTATGCCTGCTTAATCTTTCTGAGATAGAACCACCAAGCACTTATGACATCAAACAAATCAGAATTGCATTAACTAGTTATTGCACTTTATATAACTTTCTGCTTTGAAGAGATTAAGTTTAAACTTTGTAAAAATAGAGATATTAGAAAATAAATTMATTTCCTAATGTCTCCAAGCATGCCCTTCTGAGTTTACAGCTCTACGTGTGCTTCTGCAGTTGTCAGCATGAGCTGTGGCTGTCACCTGCACAAACCTTGTTTCCACTGAGGGGAAGTCTCACTCACTGTGTGACAACAGATCCAGCTTCAACAGTGCACAACACTTCCCCTGAGTCTCTATGTAATCACATGTGTGTCACCAAGAATGTGGAAACTAAATATTGAGGAGAGGGTAGCTATGCTTTTGGATAATTTTAAAAAAATAAATTAGTTCAACTCAAGGTCAAATTGTGTATTTTACCACCAGCGTACATTTGGCATCTACAGGAATGACCTAYAGAACAGAGACAAAATCCTAGAAGAAATAATTCAGAAGAACTCAGTAATTACTGTAGGCAAGCATCTCAAGATGTGCTGCCAGGACCAAAAAAGGGAGAAAAATCAGTTTTGCACTCCTTTGGACATAGGGACAGGACACAAGATAATCTTACCTTTGCAAGGGACACTGGAATGCTGTGCCCTGTTCCAGTATCCACATTTTTAAAAGAATGTTAAAAAATTGGACAGGGTACAGAGAAGAGCTACAGAAGTTATTGAAAGGATGAGAAAATTTCTCACAGTATGAATCAAAAGAAGCTAAACTGCTTTGAATATTAAAAAGACTGAGCTGGGTACCTGAAGACTCCAGTGTTCAAACAATGAAAAATACCAGTTGTTTTAAAAGCTAAACATCACAAAGCCAACAAAATTAACAGCATAACAAAATTAACAGCTGCAAAGTTAAGGCAGAAGTCATATTCAAAATGAAGCTTATTTTGATTGTAAGAACCCTAGCCATCAGAACAAGCAGCCAAAGATGAATTTAAGTCTACCTTCTCACTTTTCATAATCCAGGTTATGCTTTTTCAGCCACATATTTTGTACTTCCTTAGTACCATACTCAAAAATTACATGGAWGACACATGATTTATGGGGTCAGATGTGCTCATTCATTAAACCTGATGACCTCTGACCTGTCAAATCTGTCACCTTGGGCACCTTTCCAAAGGAGCCCAGTGTAAGCAAGGTGGCCAGACCTACCCACAACATTTATCACCCAGCTCCACATGACAAATRGACCTGAAGGCTTCTGTCAAGAAGTCTGAGATAGTGCAGAATATAAAATCCTGCTGAAATTAAACTGCAGATGCCCCTCCTAATGTACTCTGATATAAGTACATCAGAAACTTGTCATCACCACTGGCATTTTATTCTAGTGTACTTTTTACAAATAATATCAAATTCCTTATGGAAAGAATCAATTCTTTAGATTTAAATTGTTGAATTATCTCAAGGTTCCAATTTATTAATCTCTAMAATTCCATTTTCCATATTTAGGCCAAACCTTTTTATTGCAATTAACAACTGATTCACATTCATACAATAAGGCTGGCTTTTGAAAAAGCTAAAACTAATTTGGTCTTTCATATCCCCAGAGCAGACTGTTTGAAGCTTTGGCAGCAATGACACCAGTAACATTGTCTGACAGACATGTAATGGTACCATCACAAGCATCAGTGGAGGTTTTTAATCCAAAATGTGGTAGCCACTACTTAGAGGAGAAAGATAAGAAAAGACAAACTCAGTGGTTTTGGGTGAAGTCAGAGCGGAAATAAAAGTAAACAAACTACAGCAAGAAGCAGAGGACACTCCCTAAAATACTGTAATTTTTTCTCCATGTAAGAGAAAATGAATAATTGTGACAATAAGAATAAAAAACTAATTAAAAAAAGATGAGCTGCTTCAAATCTGGCCATGATAGAGCTGAAGTTCTTGCTATTATATTTATAGACAAAGTAAAACCACATCACAAGGGTACAAGAATTTCCACTGAAATTACAGCAACCTCATGAGACAGTATGCTGTGCCATAAAATACTGTACAGAGCTGCCATCCACAACAGAATCAAATCTTTGAACTGAATCAAATCCTCTCCAAGCTGCTGCTGCTCCCTCTCTCCTTTCCAGAATATTTTCAAATSAACAAATGACTTCTGGTCACTTGCTAGTCTATTTGCAAGATATTCTGTTCAGTCCCCAGTGTCCTGTCAGTCCAAAGCAGAGTATCCAAGGCCATGTATTTACTCTCTGGCCCCTCAGAGGGACGACAAGGAAGAGGAGATGTTGTAACTCATGGATGAAGATGGGCTTAWGCCAAGATAAATATCTTATGCTAAAAACGGGTGATGCTTTTGTTCTGCTGATTCTGCTGTACAAGTGGGAAATCCCATTCCATAATTCTGTGATCACCCTACACTCTTGTTTTTAAGGGTGCAGCAGGTATGGCTCCTGGATTAATGAGGATGGGAAAGCTGCACTGCTGCTACAAAAGAAAAGTCTGTTAACAGACCTGAAACTGCCATCAAGTCACTCCTGAAATGTTCATATCTGCAGCTCAGCCTTCCAGGCTGGGCCATCACCAGGAGCTGGCTTTGATGCTCAGAGGCTTCAGGAACATTCACATGCCTTTATCCACAGCTCTCCACAGCTTCACATATGCAAGCTTTTAAGAATCATTAATTAAAATTCCTGCCCACCTTTTTATGCTGTACTTTATGCTGCACAAGTGAYCAAGTGCTATTTAAAAGACAGACAGTGCCGTATTGCAATTGTAACTCATATAAATAAAGACACAACATTTAAACTGGTGYTTGCTCTTGTTGTTTGCTTTCTGAAATCCAGAAGTTTCATCTAGATGGAGATTAATGTGGCTAAATGAATGTCATCTGGAAAAGAAGCCTGCACATTTCAACAGCCTGACTTTGCCACAAAAGGTGASAGCCTGCTGGTGTCTGGGGTATCTTCCACACACAACAGAGCTCAAAATAACATTTCCTTTTAGTTTTGTTTGGATTTGGTGGTTGGTTTGTCAAGAGAGGGAGAGTGTGGCTATTCATTTTTAAATTATTATTTTAATTATTTTTGTACAGTAACTGTAATTTTTGTTCCTCAGTATGTTATTTGCAAGGTCTGGGAACATTTCCCCTTGCTTCTATATGAAGCTGTCAAGTTGAAAACTTGTTACAAGTCACAAACACACCAGTCAGTACTCTAAACCAAGCACCTCTGGTCAAACTCCCATAATTTTGCTCTGTTATTAAACACTGTGAGCATTTTCCACCACAATTAAAAATGAAAACATGGCTCCTTAGGCAAAAATAAATGCAATGTAGAAAGTATCAAATTAACTGTATGAGCATTAATTGCCATCTCATTTTTCTCCTCATTTATTAGGGTTACCTAGRTGAACACGAGATACATATAAGCATTGCTCCCCAATAAAAAGATCCCATAAACATCAATTTCAAGAAGTTACTGTCACAAAGCAGTAGACCCCTGCTGCACTAATACCAAATACATTATATGTCTTGTATTTAAAACTTGGGACTGCTTTGACTACACAATAAGATTTACACCATGCACCAAATTAGAACAGCCCATGAAGAGCCCAGAGGAAATTAATTCTAAATTATTTTTTAAATTTACAAAATGTTCTGTTTTATACTTAATAGGTACTGCTATTTTGAGACCAGTAAACATAAAGGTCAAGGATGACTGAATTAATTTTTCATTCAACAGTTAAGAAAWGCAAGATGTTTTTTCAAAACAGAAGCAGAAAAAATAAATTAAAAATGGAAATAAAAATCGAGACTGCCCTCTGAATGCTTTTGTGTAATTACACTCCACAGAGGCAAGGCTRGCACAGTTTGTCATTCGGGCACCACATGAAATTTTCTGCCAACTCCTTTAAGTGTCAGTTGCTTTGCACACAAGATTCCATTGCTGCAACAATGGCAAAGCCCAGCCCTGCAGGGCTGATGGAACAAGTGTCCAGGCACACAGAACTCAGCAGCTGATGTGTTCAACACTCATACCTGGTCCCGGGTTCCTCCCTGCTGCTCCCCTGGGACTGACTCCAGCCACTGGAACTCCAGTTTCGTGCCCTGCTCAGTTCTGTGCCTCGCTTTTGAGGCTGCTCTAAGCTGACATTTCTGCAGTCAGAACGGCAAACACACTCCAAAATACACTACCGTAACTCCAGTGAGTGCTTCAAGAAAATAATTTTTTAAAAAATCAGCGGTCAAAATGTTTTGGAAGGTTTTTCCCTACACACAGACACRCAGCTCATTGTCCTGGCTGACCATGCAATGATTTACATTGGTACTCAGATAATCAGGTTTCCCTTGTGGCACAAACCCCACTCAAGAGACACTGCCAAACTCGGGTGTTCCCAGCTCTTTGCCACCACTGAGGGGTCTCCCTGAGAAGGAGAGAGGATCACAGTCACCCCACACAGCCCGGGATTCTGACACCACCTTTCCTGCCCAGCCCTGCTCCTGCAGCACCAGCTCACACTCACCCCTTGGATCCCAGACCTTCAGCCCTCCCTGCAGATCGTGAGATTCAAATCACGAGTTTAGAAAAAAGGATAATTTAGGCAATGATAAAACTAGCAACATTAAGTTGCTAGTTCTCTCTGAAAGCAAATGTGTCMAAGYTCCTGGTGGAGCAGGAGCTGCTGTGCCCCATTCCCTTCGGCCACTGTCTCCCCTCAGAATGGGCTCCCTTTGAGCTGTGAGGCAGAAAGGAAATGGAAATTTCTGCTGACAGGTTCCCCAGTTTTGGCATTTTTGCATAATACTGATAGTGCTGCACAACACAGACAAGTGACTGTTCTTTCATCTCGCTGGAACAAACCAGCCTCTCTCCAACACAACCAGACAAGGCTCTTTTCTGCCCTTACCAGCTCCRTGTTTCTTGCATGTTTACCTCAGGAAAATATGAAAATGACTGGCAAGTCTCTAATTAGGATCAAAACCAATCTCTGTTCCCCAAATAACTAAAAACAGATATTWAAAAAAAWTAGGAACTTTGCATATCTATTGGATCCTARCCTATGCTGATCCACATTTTCATTCCAACCAAAGGACAGTGGACATTTTCCAATATCAATAACACATTACAAAGAATTCTGATTTTAACAAACTTTTAAAGGAAACAGTTCTGTGTAGGACAATAGCAGATGATGGCCAGGTACTTTCCAATAGAAAASGATCATTCAGAAGCAAATGGTTTCAATGGTTCCTAGGAAGAAGTGCAGTTTTTAAAGAARGACTTCTTCCCAAATTTAAGTCTAWTWAACTCCTTCAAGCACTGCAACAGCYTCTTCTTMTCACACAKCTTCTAAAAGCAATGTTTGAGACYTTCCATAAGTGAAATAYGCATCATAAAGTCATACATCTTTTTAAAAGCATGTATCTTGATKAATTTATACATAAGCAGGAGTGACTTCCTCCCAAAGCACTCAGGGGTGTGAGAGCAACTCCTGTAATAAATTTGTCATATCCAGAGGCTGCAAAAGTATAAAAATAATCATCAAAACACAGGAAAGTAATAAATATTGAAAGAGGCAAGTAATGTAGGAATATACATCTAAATKGTAAAGAATAAAATGCCAAAATAAACAAAAGAAAAAAAAAATCAGCCAGAACTCTACATCCTTAAATTTCCTACTATCTTGGCCAAAGTGATGTCCCACAGGTGTTTCATCAGCAGTCTTTGATCTCACACTCTGAACCTGCAGGAGCAGAAACAGCTGTAGGATCACAGAATGGTCCCAAGCATTCTGATCAATGAAAGTACTCCCTCACTCCTGTCAGAGGAACAGTCCCAGAATGTTTGCTAAAATCAAATAATCATAAATAAAAATCAAATATAATCAGATTGCTGAAATCTGTAAGAAATACCAGGAGGAAGGATGGTCTCATCCATTCATGGAAGACACAAGCTTGGAGTTCCCTTCTCACTTCTGCTGGAGACCTTTGGTATAAGGATGGAAGAATCWTTCCATCTTCAGTACATACCTAACAGATTTACACTTGGGAGATCGTGATGAATTCCCTCTCCCTCTAGATCTGGCAATGTGAACTAAAGCAAAGCATTTGCAGTGTGTTCCATGTACCCTTTGGTTTGAACTCCAACCTGCTCATGTTGCTCCAGTGCTGTTTGGGCACGGGATAAAAGAGTGTGAGCACTGCTCAAAAAACAAAATACCTTTATAAAACAAAACAAAAAACCCCTAAGCACAACTGGTTGGATCTTTAAGCACCCTTCCCCWAAAAATCTCCTAACAGTGCTATGCAAAGCAATTGATGCTGACTCAAAGGGATAATTCCTGTACAGTTACCAGCCACAGCTCGTGGCTACGTACTACCAAGTACTCTTAGAAGGAGCTCATCAATAGATTATGCAGACCCATGGATGAAAAGATCACCTAATTCCATGTTCCAGTCTCAATTTAAACAAGTCATTTATGTTTAGAAGCTAAGCCAACTGCAACTAATAAATTACATTTCAAAAAATTTTTAAACAAAATCACACAGAAGCCTAAAACCTCTGGGACTCCAACAGTACTTGCAAAATTACTTATTTTGTTATAAAATAAAACAGATCACTGGCACAATTGTATGTACTGCCCAAAGAAGTTGGTATAAATATTGTACTTGAAGCTGACAGATCTTTTGCTAGAGTGACTTGACATGTTGATTTTTGTGACCTGCATTTATGCAACCCAATCYGAAAGTTTAACTCATAATACAGCAAGAAAACAGAGACTTATACAAAAGGAATGTGCACTGCCAGCAGTTCTCCTAAAACTCCTCGTATTTGAGAACACATTAAGCATTGCCAGTCAATGTTTAATAGTTATATGTGTAAGCAATACAAAACACCCGATTTTCACAGAAAGCATTTCATTTTCTACATTGCCACCTGATGATTGTATTAATCTGTGTAAGCAAATATACGTAGCACATTTGTCCTACTATAAAAAACCCCAGGTTAAGAGAGAACAACGAGCTACTGTAAATACACCATCTGTCCAAGTTAAATAACTACAGGCTGCATTTTTATCCACTTCATCCACAAAGCCTAATTGCTGGCGTTAGCAGGAACTCTGTCCTTCTAAAGAGAATCTACCAGAAGACAATTTTAGATCTATTTAGTGTCATTTAATCTTGTTACATTTCAAAGGTCCTTCAGCTGTTAGCATTCAAAATAAATATAAGTAAAACATATACTTTACTCAGTATAAAGAACACTCCTACACAATATTAAAGAACAGCAGAAAGCAAAGTCCAAAGACCAAACTYAAACCAGATCTGCAGCTACTTTTAACAGCATTTGCACGAACTTACAGTAAGATTCCAGTTGATCTGGGGTATTCTTGTGTGAAGGTTCAGACTGAACAAAAGCAGGAGAGCTCCAGTAACCACCAGTGCACTGCAGCTCACAAACTCAAAGAAATAAAGGCCTTCRCAAGGGGAGCATTCCATGATGGTCTCGATGCAGATGAACGCAGTCAGTGCCAAAAGCTGGGAAGAAAAACAAGCGGAAAAAAAAAATAAATAGATTTCCACATTTTGAAAGTAGCCACAAGTATTCCTGAAATTTCCATTGGGAACATGATCGGTTTACACTCAGGAATGTGTGATTTCAGTTTACAACAGGGCACTGTCTAAGGAGCAAAAACAAAAGCAAATTAATGTAAGATTTTCTGGATTTGTCCCATTCTACAAAGTACACTTTAGCAAAATTACAAGGAGTCTAACATCAAAATGACTGAGACACCCCCAAAAGCATGAAACCCCTGCAGGCCACTGGTTTAACATGCAAACAGCACCTCAAGCATTTTATTTCATTTTTCACTCATGATTCACTATTCCAAAATGAGAAGATGGAATACATTTGTCTACTGGGCCAACCTCAAGCACAATTACAGAATATTAATGTTGTGTGATTGTGAAAGACATTTCAATAAAGATTATTACTTAAAAATCACTACCAATTCAGATCTAAATCAATTCAAAATAGAACAGATTCAGGATTTCTATCAGCCTCCAAAAACGCTTGCCTTTTTCACATTTATCATCATCAGTACASTATATTTCATATTAAAACCTATTTTATCATTCCCTTATAGGACAATAAAACACAAAGCTAAGAGATGAAGGAAAACCTCCTGGTGCTGCAAACACAAACATGGAACTGCAAACACTAAATCCAGAGGATATCTTGGAGGAGTTACCACATGTGGACTCTGACAAGAATTGAATTGACCATTTAGGATAAACACTGACACTTGCTGTACTTTAAAATAAAATCTGCCCMGTGGACAAAACTAAAATATAAACTAAAATATATATATWTTATATATAAAATATAAAAAACCCCATCAGGTGCCACCATCAGGCAGAAGGGACAGCCACCAGCACATGGGTGCCTTTGGACACCACTGACACACCACAGCTCACACACCAAGCCTACGGGCGAGATGACTCCTCCTTAAATAAAACTGACAGAAGAAAAGTAGTTGCATAAATGGCTTGGGTTTTTTTTTTTTTGCTTTGTTGGGTTTTTTGCATTTTCCAGGACAAGCAGGGAAGGTCTTAAGAGTGTTTTGCTTTGGTTTTCAGGACAACCACCCCCATCCACCCACTGACATTTTTTAGAAAGAATTCTCTTCTTGCTCTGCCACGAAATTSTAACGAGGCTGCAGTAAGAGCTTCAATCTGAGGATGAGGAACTATGGGAGATATGTTCCTCAGAGCCAAACAGCCCACAATCTGAATGTTTTGCACAAACATAAGTTTAGGAGATTGACACAAGCCATAATAAAAACCAATTTCTGCTAAATCCTTCTTTGCCAGTTTCAGTGTTCTGCAGATACACTTCCTTCAAGCACTTTTTATGCTTCATCCATTAGTCTGTCTCTGGMTCCCACAACAAAACTAGGAAAATGAAGAAAAAGGATTTTGAAAGAAGTCACTATTTTTGTTGCCAATATGAGCAGTAGTTCTAAACAAAAGACAAATATCCCTCATGTTCATTTGCCATATACYTCAGAATACAGTAGAAAATGTAAGYTTAARAACAGATTAAAACTAAGCAAAAATACTTCAATAAACCTCACACTTGGTTGGAAAGCTTCTCACAATTCACTTAAGCACATGTTCGTTAAAGAGAGCACATGCCACATAATTTTTGTCAGCTAACAGAGAGGCCAATTCACATCAAACWAATTCTCAATGGATACCCTGTGATGAAACACATCAGATTTTATCTTTGACATTGAATAGCTTCAGAAAGAAAGATCATGCATGAAATGGAGTATTCAGAATCAAAGCAGAATCAAAGTCAAAATACGATTTCAGCTATGACACACACCAAAAAAATTACTGTCCAGACACAGCCTCATTGTAAAGTATTAGCAAGTAATGAAGTTCACCTGCTCTATAAACACAAGACTCAAAAGTGCAGATGACACTGAATGCAATTTAAAAAAAAAATAGCTCTAAGAACCAATCATTGAGATTTCAAGAAGGATCAACATCCCATATTAATGCTAAATGTTACCCAGCAAAATATTTACTTTTGGATTTTCCAGTATAATAAAGTTTCTATTTTTCTTGCAATTATTTTAAATATATTATGATACTTTTTTTTCCTTTTGAAAGAAATGGTTCTGCAAYATTCTCTAGAAATACTGTAGTATAAGCCCCAAATATTAGATTCATTTTCTCAAAAAATGAACGACTCTGAATTGTGCCACCACCACTACAATGAAGAAGTCAAAATCTCTGGCATGCCAGCTGCTGTGCTGGACAACTCTGGTGTTTTGCTGGTAAACTTTGACACTGCCTCTTCTCCACGGCAGCAGCATTGCTTCTTCAAGGCTAACACACCCRTCCCAGCTGACCAAGCTCAAAAGAGACCAAAGAGTTTCCTGCACACAGCATTAGAATTTAATTATGTACCAAAGAGGCTCTTGGAGCAATGAACTCTAATAATCTCGTGTTATTTACACATTCCCAAGACCAGAATTAATAAACTGCAGAGCCATTCTATATTTAGATTTCATTTTGTTCCTTAAGGAACTATAAAATTCATTTACCTGTGACACAATCTTGTAAGAAGAAAAGGTGTTATTTGTGTACACTTAGGCCAGACTTAACCCAACCCATTTCAAAATGCAAGAGGTGCCATCAGTTTAGGACACGTGCAGCAGCATTAGGTACAGTGGCCTGGGCTGTGGCAGCCCAAGTCTGTCAATAAATTCATCAGAGAGGCTGACAGAAAACTTCAATTGCTTCTGTGTCTGATGGAGGAAGACAGGAAAAGGACAGTCCTCCCATAACCACAATTAATTTCTAACATTTTAGTACTTCAAGCAAGATACCAACTAAATGTGTTACCATTTTTCTTGCAATAATAAAAATATCTCACCCTTCTCAAAGACTAYCCATCCTACCAGTGTTACAGATAATACCCTCCTGCTACCTACCACGACAGTCTCACAGCAAAGTTATGACAAAAAAATTAAATTTGCATTAATCACTACATCAGGAAAAAGCTATCYTCCTACAGAAACTTCCTTTTTTCTAATCACAATAGAAATCTCAGTCTTCAACACAAAATATTTTCTCTTTGAAACATCMAGGATCATCTTGTCCTCCCACATATTTATAAATTTGCCAAAAGCAGCTTTTCAATTAGCTACAAGTTACATGAAACTTCTATAAAAATATACTTAGTATCACTTTCAATGGCCATTTGCTCAGAGGTGAATCTAACTTTGTTTTTAATAAAATAAACTACTCAGAACACACGAAATGAAAGTGAAATACATAGGTTTGATACCACAACCTTTTCAGGTGACTTTTTCAGGGAGCTTAAAAGGGTTGTGGAAATGCTGCCACATGAGCCAAAGCAGCCTCTCAATGACAACAGCTCACCCGGTGATAGGGTTCATTAAAAAGAAAACACCATGTGTTAACATTCATTATCTCTATGTTTTTTAATTTATGAAATGAATCATTAATGAGACAMTCTACATAAGTGAGGCAGTGAATTAAACAATTCTGCCACCAGAACAGCCCTTGACTTGCATGGCCATGAAGAAAGTGCTCCACTACAAACTGCAGAAAAGTAATTTCTGCAGAGCTTCCTACACTCTGCCCTCTGCCACATTCACATCCCAGATAAAACTGGAGCCTTTCCTCACCATGCTGCCTACACACACGGTCCTGGGAAGATGAAGCAAGGATCAAGACCCTCCCCCCCCTGCTCTGGGATCCAATGTCCTTCCAGGTTTGCACTGCTCCAGTGACTGAGACACAAAGCTATAGAGAAAAAYCCTCAATTCCCCAGCCGCTAAAGCTCGGTCCTTGCTTTGGAACACTCAAAAACCAGGATCCTGCCTCTGCCTCCCATGACTGCAGTTCTAAGACTAGCTAAAAAAACTCAGAAAACCAGAGAAAGATCATCATATCAGAGCTCTTGGCCAACAAAATGCACCCTGACATTTGTCCAACACAGGAGGCAACCCCCACTTTCAAATCACACRTCTTTTCATAGTTCAGGGTGATGAGATTTGACAAGTTTTTCCACAAGCAAAAGTTTCAAAGCTGGTTTACCAAGGAAAAATGAGAAGTTGAATGTGGTAGAAATCTCCTCTTACATGAATTACTGCTCTCTTCCACAAATAACACAGCTAYAGCTTTCTCGGGCAGAGGCAAGAGAGAACATTTTCTCTGATGGATAAAATAAACCTTTTCATCTGTTTTTCTCTGCACCAAGTACTTTGGAGAGTCTTCCATTCTGCACTAATTCCTCCATCACCCTAAAATTTGTACAACACTCTTTTATTACTAATCTTTCTCTTTTTTTAACAGTTGCTTTTGGTTTTTCTTCTGCTTCCACAGTTCTTGAAGTCAGTACAGTGGACATCGCATTAAAATGTAACTTTGTCATGACAGAAACATCTGCTTATTCCGGACGCTCAGGCCACACAGAGCCATCCCAGGCTACCTGCAATAACACTTTTTTTCTTTCAAAAATCTGGCCAGCAAAGCAGCCTCAGAAAGAATGAGGTAAGCTCAGGGTAGGCTGAGGAAAGGTCTGGGTCTGCCAGTGTGTGCAATGCAGCCCCAACACTGTGACAGAGCAACCCTGCCCTTCATCCCCCATCTCCCACCACCACAYCATGCACAGGCAGGAGGAAAAAGCCCCGAGCAGAAGATTAAGTATGAGATGTACATCCCAAGAATAACATTTTGTGCTTTTAGCCCTGAACAAACAGGCAAACTGTCACCCAGAGTTACTGCTTGGGGTGTGCAGCACAGCCAGGATAACTCCTGCACTGAGCAACACCAGAGCAGCTCCATGAAACCACTGCAATTTAGGGCTGTGGAATTCCTGAAAGAGAGCCCCTGCTCTGGGATCCAATGTCCTTCGAGTCAGCCACATCAGCCTCTTACCATTATTGTATTCATCTCAACTTTCCTGCAAATTCCCCTGGAGAAGGGCCCTTAAT